TCAACTCACCTGCAGTGGCAAATCACCCCCTTTGTTAACGCCGGCACCATCCTTCCGTTAGCTTTTAATAGTCCCCTCTGTTAACACCGTCGAAGCTCTCTCCATTTCAGAAATTGTCTCGTTCTCGCGCATCGACTCGTAGTCAGACTCGTCTTTGAAATCCGAGAAGCTCGATCTCGAGGAAGAAGCTTTGGAGGAATGGCTGGAGACAGACTCCGAATCAAGGTGATCCATGTTTGACTTGAGAATCTGGTAAAACTCCTTCTGGAGCGGTTTCATGGCAGTTTCCATCAGGTTCTGAGCCCGGACTAGTTTCCCCACCACCTGATTCTCGGAGACGAAGTACTGCATAGCGCGTTGGAGGTGCTTGATGGAATTGAGATATTGTTTTACTTTGTGGCGGTTCTCTGAGGAAAAGAGGTAGGCGATGTTGCAGTAGGAGGAGTCTGAAGAGTCCCATTTAGTAATTATCGACTGAGCCACCTCGATGTCCTCGTCCGTTAGGGACTCTGAAAAAGTCTGGCGGACTGGCGAAGGTGGTGGAGTGGACCTCGCCGGCGACGGTGACTTAGAGAAGACGGTCCTCATCTGAAATTTCCACTCTTAATCAATTGAATTTGGGTGTTGAATTGTTGTTTGGAGACAGAAGAAGAGAGTAGTTACTGGTTCCTGGCTGAGAGTATGAAGATGTGGGAGAGTTGGAACGAGAGGGGTATATAGAGGAGGGAAGGAAGGAGGATGGAATCGAGTGAGAATCATGAATTTTAAAAGCTAACGGAAGGATGGTGCCGGCGTTAACAGAGGGGTGATTTGCCACCATAGGTGAGTTGAGGGGGTGGTCTGCGCGTAAAGTGGGTTGAGGGGGTGATTTGCCACCAATGGGTGAGTTAAGGGGGTGATCTGCATGTTTTGCCAACCATCTGAAGCACTCAAAATGACCAAACTATCCTTATTTTTTCCCAGATTACAAACCCTTCTCACCCTTTTCTTCCTCATCTGTATACCCTCCAATGTAATTTCACAAAGCATTGAAACAGAACGTACAATTCTTCTCAAACTTAAGCAACAGCTGGGTAATCTGCCGGCGATTCAGTCATGGAATGACTCATCGTCACCGTGTTCTTGGCCGGGAATCCACTGCACTCAAGGTTCAGTCACCGCCGTTTCGCTCCGCAATATTGACATTAAGGTCAAAATCCCACCAACAATCTGCGAGCTTAAGAACCTCAATGTCCTTGATCTGGCCGACAATTATATCCCCGGTGAGTTCCCAAAACTGCTGTACAATTGCTCCAAGCTCCGGTACTTAGACCTCTCCATGAACTACTTTGTCGGCCCCATTCCCGATGGTATTGAAAGGTTATCGACTCTGCTTTACTTAAACGTCAGTGCCAACAATTTTTCTGGTGACATTCCGCCGAGTATTGGCCGATTACCGGAGTTGCGAGAACTCCATCTCGACGGGAATGAGTTCCGCAATGTCACTTTTCCGGAGGAAATAGGAAACCTATCCAATCTTGAGCATCTGTCTATGACCTATAATGGGTTTGCGCCGATGAAGATACCTGATAGGTTCAGTCAATTGAAGAAACTGAAGTACTTATGGATGACGCAGACAAATTTAATCGGCCCAATTCCGGAAGGCATCGCCGACCTGTCCAGTCTGGAGTGGTTGGATTTGGCGGGGAACAAGTTGGAAGGCTCGATTCCTAGCAGGCTTCTCATGCTGAAGAATCTGACCAATTTGTATCTCTTCCACAACAAACTATCCGGTGAGATACCTAGATCGGTAGAAGCTTTAAATTTGGTAGAAATTGATCTTAGCATGAATAATTTGATTGGCACCATACCGGAGGAATTCGGGAAGATGCAGAATCTGGTGTTCTTCGATCTGTTTTGGAATCAGTTAACAGGGGAAGTGCCGGTCGGTTTGAGTCAACTTCCGGCCTTGAAGATTTTCCGGATTTTTAACAATAATTTGAGTGGAATATTGCCGCTGGAGTTTGGCCTCCACTCAAAGCTCGAAGGTTTTGAGGTGTGCAGCAATCAATTCACTGGTCAACTACCGGGGAACTTATGCGCAGGCGGCGTTCTACTGGGAGTGGTTGCATTTTCAAACAACCTCAGCGGACAAATACCAGCGTCGCTTGGAAATTGCAGCACCCTCCGAACCTTTCAGCTTCAGAACAACCACTTTTCAGGTGAGATTCCTCCGGGTCTCTGGACGACTTTCAATTTAGAAAGCTTGATGTTGAGTAACAATTTATTTTCGGGGGCATTGCCGAGCAAACTAGCATGGAATCTGACGAGGGTGGAAATTAACAACAACAAATTTTCCGGCCAAATACCAACCGGAGTTGGTTCTTGGTCAAATTTGACAGTCTTCCATGCAAGCAACAATCTCTTATACGGTGAAATTCCAAAGGAAATAACATATCTTTCTAAGATTATTTCACTCTTCCTCGATGGTAATCAACTTTCCGGTGAATTGCCATTGAATATAGTCTCCTGGGTATCGTTGACAGCCTTGAATCTGTCCGGTAACCAACTCACCGGTCAAATTCCGGCATCAATTGGGTCTTTACCTGACCTGTTCAATCTTGATTTATCAGACAACCAATTTTATGGGAAAATCCCTGCTAAAATTGGCAACCTGAGACTTACTTCCCTAAATTTATCATCCAACAAACTCTTCGGGAAAATCCCTGACGAGTTTGACAACCTTGCCTACGAAAACAGTTTCTTGAACAATTCCCACCTCTGTGCAGACAATCGAGTCCTAAATCTTCCAGACTGCAGTTCCACACTTCACCAACCCCAAAAACTGTCCTCTAAATATCTTCCTCTGATTCTGGCTCTTGCTGTCGTTGTCACCATTGTTAGTGTTATATTGACCCTGTTTAAGTTCAGAGACTACCGGGGGAAAAAATATCTTGCGACATGGAAGTTAACTCTGTTCCAGAGATTGGATTTCACGAAAGTGAATATCTTGTCCAGTTTGACTGATAATAATTTGATTGGATGTGGTGGGTCTGGAAAAGTGTACAAGATTGGCATTAATGGGTCAGGTGGATTTGTAGCGGTGAAGAGGATTTGGAATAAACAGAAACTGGATCATAAGCTGGAGAAAGAGTTCAAAGCAGAGGT